CGAGGGAACGAGACCAGAGGGCGTTGCAAAAAGATTATCAAACTCCAACTCCATTTTAAAAAAGCGACTGATGAGAACGACAGGAAAGGAAATATGTGTGCGGTGGATGAGTGGGATCCATAAGAAAATTATACGCAAACTTTTCGCATTCATTAAAATGACGTTCACACAGATTAGTTGCCAACTCTTTCAGTGGGATTGAAGAGATAAGGCTAATGACGGTCGGTCGACATTAAAGCAGCTTAAATTTCTTTTTTAGGAGATTAGAGAAAAATGAATTAGTTCGAATTTCATTATGAACTGTAATCTCTATCTAGCTCACTTTTATTATGAGCAAAATAGGTCCGATTCAAGTAAGCAGTAACAATCTTAAAAACGGAATCATGGTTAACATACACTTTGATTCATCAGTTTGTCGGAGGACCAGTGATATAGACGTCTCTTGTTTCCATAAACTAGATTAGACAAATAAAGTATCGATCTAAGATAAAAGGTAGTGAAAACTTAAACCCTTCATTGATTTTGAAAGTTAAACTGAATCTATAAACTGAACTCCGATCCCCAGACTCCTATTAACATCTAATTACTGGTCACAAGCTATCATGTGTAGGAGAGGTGGCAGAAAAAACCGGCTAACGGGTAGTTCACTGTGAGCCTATAGGCTAGTCTGCATGCATGCAACGTCAAATATCACACGATCGTATTTGATAGATTTGGGTGCCTGAGATGTGCCGATATGTTGCGAACGCAAAGTACGCAATGACGAAAGAACGACTACCAGGTTACAAGTTATTGAACGTACTGAACATTAGATCAGGTACCGGTACGCCCACTGGCCCTCAGTTTGCATTGTTTGAACGGTCTGTAAATATTTAAGTCGCAGATTGTGATGCCATCATGACAAATTTGCTCTTAGTTCGTATAGATGAGGCAAATGCCACAGTGTAACTACTGAAGGACATAGAAACACTATGACTTATCAAAGCTCCTGAAGTACATGAAACCGGAATACACATACGCTAACCACAAGTCCTTGCAACCGACCCCATATAAGGCTAATGCAGGAAATTTTACTTATCAAGCAACTAAGAAGCATTGAAGGTTTAAAGGAAATCCGCTTTTGATATTAATTTATGAGATTTACACGCGTTTTTTCCCAAATCACACAAAAACATACAGATAATGCTGGTAGGGCTTCGTTACAATGCACGCTGTTAGATAAATTCCGCTGCTGTGGAGAATAGTGAATTTTTTGTAACGGATGTTTACGCACCGCTTGACGCGACTGTCACACCGTGACTTGGCTTTGGATTCTATAATTCCTGGAGGCGCATGTTCGGTCTTGCGGTTCTTGCCTCTTATCAGGCATGCGCATCCGGTAATTTTTCTTCAGTTTTTCCGTACGGGTGTATCACGGAAATGTTTTTTATTCACAGTAACCTCATTTGCTATAAGGATATATATATATATGTGCGTTTCATACTTTTCGGTCACGGGTTTACTTGGTTTCATTCTAAATGCACACCTACCGATCACAGTTCCCAAAATCACGTGGGTCCACATTGTTCGAACAATCACATGGTCGACATGGGATTCCTTTGTCGGGATCTCCATAGAAGTTCTGTGCACAACGTTCGCATCGAACACCTAAAGATTAAACCAATACGTGCATGATGAGATAAATTGTGCATGACGACCAAAGCCGAAATGATGTGGAAGACTGAGTGAAATTATTTTCTGTTTTCTACCAAGCAGCAGGCAAACCTTTTTGCATTAACTAATGTGTGAAAATAACGCGGGGTACGTTGGGAAAATCTACAACTAAGATGAAAATATCAACAAATACACAGTTAGCTAAAATAGATCTTTTCAGTGAATCCTTGGGAGATTTATTGAATCAAATCACCGTGTGAAAATGCTAGGTTACAATTATTGAACAATCGATGAACACATTCCGACACCACATTACGCAATTCTAAGTATATCGAAATAAGTGATGGAGGATATTTTGGGGAACGCCTGCATCTCAGAACCGGATGGATTTAAAATAAGCTTTACACTACAGCAGTATCAGTTAAATCCATTTAACTGGACGGAGCGGAGTAAAGCAATGAAAAGCATGGGGAAGTTTATCTTCACGACCTTTTTTGACAAGCAAGGAAAGATCATGTGAACAAAGACCTACGGTGTACGCCATGGAAACGCTTTTAATTAGCTTTATTAGCTCCTCAGAAAGTAGCATGATGGGCGAAAACTTCAGACACCATGACCTACTGAGTCGGCTTTGTAAGGTGTGAAACGATCGCGCGTGTTCGTGCTTATTCGGGTTCGATGAATTTCGTGAACTGATCAATCGGAATGTCTGCTCGTGAAATCAACGAACATTGTTCCATTGGAACGAATTACCAAATACAAATATTTTAAATCCAAAGTATGTTTTTCCGACATTAGTAATTGATTTTTTGTGCTTTCTTTAAAAAGTTGCTTCTCCTGCACTGTGACTTTTCACTGAACGACGATGCTGTAAGCATTCCATCTAGAATTCTTAATAGTCGTTTCTTAGCAAACCTTCATGAATGAAATCCAATTGCGCGTTTATGAACACTTATTTTCTAGGCTCCATTCGCCCTAACTAAATCAAAGGGGTATTGCAGTGGATTTAGGCATCCACTGGAATGGAGGCACTGACCGAAACAGGCTAAATCAAATGCCAGATGTAACTACATGAACAGATCTTCAATATGTGAGTTTGTGATCCCAGTTTTCTACGCCAACGGACTCATCACGCAGTTGGGCTTGGAAGCGTGTATAAATTATTTTCGACTACACAAGCAGATCTCAGATAGATTGCTTTATTTTTCTCGCCATCAGTTCACCAATGATTGCTGACTCTACTGGTGATGTCTATCTTCAAGTTTAGGTGTAGTCCTTCTCTTGGTAATCCGTTTTATTATTGATTCGTATCTCTGATGTGAAAACTATCAACTTGCATGCACTCATATGGTCTGCAGAAGGCAAATTATATTAACGATAGTATCAAAATAAATACATAAATTAAATGGGTTTCAGAGATTTTTAATGATTTCATGATAACTAATAAATTTGTCTGTTTCTCACAAGTAATCATCAACCTTCACTGGGTTTAGTCAAGTGATCATTATCTATGATCTGACATGCATGTGTGTGTGTGTGCGTATTCGCAAACTGGTGCCATCACTACGTATAGTAGGAAATCCAAACGATGATCCCAGATACCAACTTCAAACAAATTCTGTATTCCTTTACGTCAGAATATCTAACAATAAATTTATTGATAAACATAATTTCATTAATAAATAATGCTGAAGTGTAAAGGAATATCTCAGTTAGTCTAAATGTAAATACTAATCTTAAAGAGTTGATTGAATTTTATTTAATTATTTAATAAGTTATGTGGCATCTTTCAGCAATAATTACGTTGTTGGATGCTACCAACTTCATCACATTCTATTCAATGTCTCTTCGTCAACTCGATCACACATAACTTCTTTTACGGATCAGTATTTTTCTTTCCCTTTTGCACTGATGGACGCGCACAACCGCGCTTATCGTCACTACAGATCAATAAATAATCCAGTGTACAGCGCACACGATCTCAACACCTCAGTCATAGTGGTTGGCATGTCATCACTTTTCATGTAAAGACTGTAGTCTGGCTCATCCGTATTCAATAAAGTTCTGAGCTCTATTTGCTCAGTTCCTGGATCTCTACAGTTAACGACGAATTACCTACGTTCCAGGTTGTGACACTTGCAAAACACATCTTACTTCAAACAGAGAGGTACTAGTTCGCTCAGTTGCAGAATAAAGAAATCAGCAAAACTTACCTGTTCGATTGCCCGGGCAGTCTTTGCAAACAACTTCGATTGGTTTATCCGGCCAAAAGACCTGCTCGCACTTCGCACCGGTCGGACAAGGGCATGGTTTGCACGCTTGCTTTGAGCCGATTGGAGAAAACGCGTTACCATAATAACCGTCAGCACAGCGATCGCAAAACAAACCTCCAGTGTTGTCCTGGCAGTCACACTGACCTGTATACAGTGAATCAAATGAAACACTGAGGAAGAAGCCCAGTAAACTATAAATGTAGTGGTATCAGCATTCGATTCGGTACTCTGCAAACTGACCACGCAAAAGCTTCTCTCACTCAGAAGATGATGTTGATGATGATAATGATAATAAAGAAGCGGTAAGGGGAGAAAGGTTTTATCATGGAGGAGAAGTAGGTGAAGATTAGGGTGTGGTAAAATTCATTCAATTATACCATTCTCTCATGGTTTTCTAAGTGTTCACTTGTTAATTGATTTGAAAAGACCTTTCAAGAGAGTAAGATGTTCGTCACCATAAAAAGGCTTTGATTCTTTCTCATCATAGCTAATTCAAAGGTTCCCATGTGGATTTGAAAACTGTTTTGTTACCGAAATTGTACTGTAAGACCGATCCTGCAAATCGTTCTCCGAAACGGAATGTCTATTCGTGTAAAGCGACATCCAAAGAACCCTAGAACTAGAGTCTAATTACCATATAAAACTTCACTGAGAAAGGTGGAAGTGAAATATTAGATTTCTCTAAATCAGGCTGGCGATTTTCAAATGTTCACTTCCCTGGTGATTAAAATGTTTCTAAAGCTGGAACGGGGATACTCTAGTTTGAATCAGCGAACATCATTTCAAAACATTCATCTATTATTGTTTATCATTTCAAGACCCTGCACAGCTGAAAGTTTTTTGATCAGATAATTTATAACCATAGAATACTTTAAACGGCCTCAAATATCTGTGACCCAGTACATTTTTGAAGCAACATTTTTACTGGTGACTTATTTGCAACCAGGGCAAATGACTTCATTAACTGCGTCACTGTGAACTCAGGAGANCAGGAGAAATTTGTCGTATAAACTGCAGAATCATGACTCGGATTACTAACACAAATTTAGGTAGAAGCTTGGCCCGGACACTAGTTAGGAGATTTCGCGTGTACATGGGGTAAGGATAGGATGATGTGTGCTTATGCGCTTATGTGTGGATGAGCGTGTGTCGGGGGAGGAGTGAGGCCGTAAAACACGCTACCAATGTAAACACCGGATGTGAAGTGAAACATAGCAGACTGCATGTGCTTGGCTGCATGTGTCCCGTCTCAGAACCTCTCAACATAGTGGCCAGCATACATGCACATAAACTTCTTCTTAGTTGTGTAGGAATGTAGGTGTTTTGATTGACCACACTGCGAACACACCCGTAGTACAACAGGTCAATGAAAGACCTTTCATAATTGGACTAACTTAACTTGGCAAACTAAACCTTATGGAACCGGAGGCTAACATCACCACCACCACCAATGCCATCAATGCCGTGTGACTGCAGTCATCTCGAATCATGCATATGGACAAACCGAAAGTGTACTCCGTCTCAGATTGTTTACTCGCGTCAGAATAAATCACAACGTGAGGTGTTCCATCGTCAAATACAAGTGGATGCCCGCACACAAGCTGAACAGAGAGTAAATGAACTCGAATGACATTAGTATTTGCGCAACGCGTTTTCGCGTAAAGTGCCACTCTGATCATGTTCGGAGTGGATACAACGCACCGGTTGGCTTCGGGACGTTTGCGTAAAATGATCCAATCTATCACACCTCAAACGAGCAGGCAAACATAGAACCAGATACTTCATTAAGGAAAATGATATATAGAGTCCTTCTAAGTTCATTTCAATTTCAATTTACGTGAAAATCGTAAACATAAAAGAAACTGAACAGTAAATGAATTTACTAATCTTCTCAGTTAAACTGATCAACCGAATGGTTCAAATTCCCCCGGAAGTGCGTCTCACTCAGTATATACATAATGCACATACAACATATATATATATATGTTTATATATTGATCAAAAGTAGCAACCATTCTGAATTCACTGATTCAAACTTCATTAGGTTAATGAATCTGTCGCAATTTATTAGTTTAATATATTGATTTATTTCGTTAAAAATGCTTCAAACTGAGGCCAGTTTGGTCACACGATCATTTACATTTCGCAGTTTATTAAACAGGATGATTGTGTTTACACACCCCTCATTTATCCAGGCCTGGATATCATGACCGTAACTGTTGTTTTGCTATTCCAACCAGGTATACGTGCATGAGTTTGTGACTCACAGAGACTAACTTCCCAACCGCAAAGGCATGAGGACATCGGGGTTAACTTAATAATAATAATAATAAAGTAACCCCTCAGTCGAAGGTACTTGTGACTGATAATGTGGAATGAATATCCCGATTTGGACTAACGATCATTTAAACAGCATAGTTGTGCAAGATCCTCAGTGATTCTAGAAAATTGTACTCTCTGGAAACACTAAATAACAGCTTCGCTCTTTTTTTAGAGCTCATCACTGTCGCATATCAAAATACTAATTTGGGATTTAGACTCAGGATCCCCTTCATGGAACGCATCTGTGTTATCACAGTCATCTGATAAAAGTAACAGATTACACGCCTTTATGATTTAAATGTGAATTAGAATCTGGTGCAGAGGCGAGTTTACCCTAAACTGAAAACCTGGCTGGGCAGGAGGCCTTTGATTACAGTTAAAAGATAGTATACTGTGTCTCCTCATCATTACTGACTGACAGTAGTTGCTGCTCATCTATTAAGACGAAATTTTAACAAAATTTAATGGGTAATACTAGCTAGCTCGTTGTGAGCTGGTTGGCACCGTGGTAACACAGGACTTCTGCTCAAAGGATCCGGACTTTAAGTCTTGAATGAATCTGTTGACACGAAAAACAAATGAACTCTAGATAACAGATAACTTGAGTCTATCGCTATCGGGTGCATGCCTTACTGGCTCAACCGAAGATTGTGCGGAAAGGTGAAGGACGATTGATAATCAGATCAAAGCAACCTGACAAATAATCCGAAGGCGGAGCGTATGGATACGTGGATATTGATTGATGTTCTCCAATCTCTCTCAATCTCAGAATTTTGGAGCCAGTGAAATACTTTCTGTGGAACAACGTGTGCATCAAAGTGTGTCACCATGTTATTCAACGATGAAAACCAAGTTGTCATTTAGACGGAAATGCTATCAGACAAGCAGGAGAGTGCACACAAGTGACCTTGTTATTACCGAACATAGTGCTGAGTTTGATTTGATTTTATTCGCCATTCCGGTCGCTCGGTTTCACGACTATAGGCATTATAATTTAGGGACGCCGTTGAACGAAAACTGATCAAAATATATGGGGAAACATGAGGGTAGAAAAAGCGCTCATTTTTGTAACCGAGATTCCCCACGTATGTATGGGTCAGGCTCGCAAGGCCCTTGCGTTGTACCATTTGGTAGAGAACAAATAAGTTTCGGTCGGAGGGGAGAGAACAAAGAAGCACGATACCTGTTTCTGGATGGCAACTGGTAGCGTGATTGTTACATGTGCAAGCCACGCATCGATCTGTGACTAATCCATTGGGAGGGTCCCGGCGAAAACCGACGGCACAACTTTCACAAGACTTCCCAGTATACTGTGGCGGACAGACACAAATCTCTATGCGGGGATCCTTCTGAGGTCTTCTTTTGCCTGACAGGAAGTTGAGGAGAGCAAAACACATGAACCTTTAATATTAGCGTGAAAAGTTACATAATTGGTTGTTTTATTGGATTCGAATAAAAATAAGTGTGTAAACTACAAAACACGGTACAAGAGCATAACACGGAATACATATTGCTAACTTTTGAAGATGATCAATAGAAACATCCGAGACGTTAAACCTTTAGCCTCACATACCAGGAATCTAGAAACAGCAGTCTACGGCACAGCGCTTCAGTCACTCGGATCCCTGGTGTGTTGGAGTGTTGTTTGAATTGATCGTTTGTTTTACTGCCTCAATTGTGTTTATATAATTAGTCCGTGTAAGACTTTAATTTTGCCCGTCGAACAATCTGATTAATGCAGGGTTATATATAAACGTCTGCGATTTCTTCCCAAATGTGTATGTCCAGTGGACTAGAGAAAATAGATCGAGAGCATTTCCTGAAGAACTGACTTTTGACACCTTAGTTATTCTATATACTAAACACCATTTACCTCCCTGTAGGCACTGTCTTAGGAAGCTTCCTACGCGCATGCAGGTAATCTCTCCGGTGCTACGTATCAGATGTGATTATTAGGTAGTGAAATTTCTATTAGAAATGTGAGTTTCAGCTGTAAACCTTTCCAAATGCAGTTTAAGTATGAAACCATCAATGCACCTACACAGCGTTGACATTAGATGTGGGAAGATGATTATAATAGTTTAATTTGTGAGCCTAGCTCAGATGCGCAACCACAGCGACCTAATCCGTTACATGCAAGAGTTGATGACAACAAAATCAGTGGTAATTTGTTCAAGAAACAACTATTTCCGTGTGGTGGAAATAGTGTTTACGCTGAACACCTTATTGACTCATTATCGTCATTGAATATACAAAGAAACTGTTTTCAGGAAGGAGGAAGCAGCCAATCAAAGGGCTGCCATTCAACACACAATGGGGAAAGTCAGGCGGTGGTGGTGGGGTTCGAATACACCTCCCCGGGGTGAAAATCTGGTGACGTTACCATTGGGCCACCACCGCCCGTATCAGATAATTTGAGTGGCAAAATGCGTATCAGGTCTCCCCGTCGACCCGACAAACAGTTGATATTAGAACGGAATATAAAATGGAGAGTTTCAGTGGACTAAGGTTGTAAGGAAATTCAGAAAATACACGGACGCCATTGTTACCAACATTCAGCCATTTCGCCCAGTGTCTCTAACCATCGGTTACGATCATTACATTAGCACTCAAGCTACCCAGAAAAGCTGGCAACTTACCTGGATCTTCACTCAGCAGCATAATGTCGTCTCCATATTCTAGATCAGACAGTCTGCCACTTGGGATTAAATAAATACCGCTATCCTCACATGTAGATAGGGCTGATTCAAGAATTAAACCTACGACAAAATTACACAGAAACAGAGAGGGGGCAGCCCTGTCGAACATCACTTTCCGTGGTGAACTCGGGCGAAAAAGTGCCGTAAACTCGGACTCGACTTCGGCTATTAGTACAAAGAGATTGCAGTATTGATGTGAACTTCTCGGATACACCCTGGATGGAAAGGAAGCGCCGGAGTTTATAGTGGTTCATTGAGTCGAAAGCCGCTTGCAAATCGAGGAAGACAGAGATCGTTGGTCTACAAAAACAATATCGATGCTCTATTACTTGGAGAAAAGTGAAGATGTGATCGATACAACCTCGACCAGGTCTGAAACCAGCCTGGTTCTAACGCGTGCACCGTGAGGCAGAAAGTCGACGGAATGTGATCTCAGCAAGAAGTTTGTATGCAATGTTGATCAAGCTAATTCTTCCGGGGTTTTCACAAGAGGAACTTTCGCCTTTCTTGTAAACCAGTATGAACACTGATTCACGCCATTCTGTTGGAACCTGTTGCATTTCCCATATTGAGCCCAGGAGTTTCGTCAACTCCAAGACTAACGTTAAGCCTCCATCCTTAAACGCCGATTTGAACAGCCGATCTGGGCCAGAGGTCAAAATAACACAACTATTGCTTCCGGACAATCATTAACCATTCTACTTTGATTTGGTTACCGGAAAATATTTTAGTTCGAAAAGCGATTGACCGTTAAACCCCAGTTCGCTCATTTGTGATATCAGATCCCTCAATTACTTACCCAGGGAACAGAACGGACACTTGTTGGAATCCAGTTGACACAAACACGGTAGGTATCCTTCGCGTGTCCCGTTGCAGCCCACAAATAGGTTTCGACCATCTGAAATTAGGCAAAGGAGATTATATAAGACTGATATCCAAAATCTCGTTCCAGCCTATTCATTGTGTTTCATGTGCTTGAGTTACCTCCGTGGGATTCAAACCCACCCAAGGACGCTAGTTGCGCTTCCGTGTAGCATACGCGCGGACCACTGAGCTACGAGGTCATATCAACGATTATTTCATACTTGATCAATCACTAAAATTATTGTGGTATGTACCCCTACTACCTCGAAGGTCCTCAATATAATCTACCGGACTACACCGAAGGACATCAAATGGAGTATGTATTGTTTAACGATCAACACGATTTCACGTCAGTTTTTAGACGTCGTCGATGGGGCAAATCAACAAGCAAATAAATGCCTAAACAATATATTGCGCAATTCATTATGAACTTTGTAAAAAAACATTGCAATGTTTGTTACAGCTATCATGATTGATTTGGCATTGCTGAATAAAGATTATCCTCATTGGGAATGATTTAGCTTCGCCGATGTTAACCTTGGACGGGAACCTCAATCCCGTTTTTGAGAAATTACAGCTGATTACTCCGTGTATTCTGTCTTGAAGTTTAGGGCGACCGTCATCTTGAGTAACAATTCATTACAGTGCGTCCAAAGTCAATTCATATAAAAACTAGGAATCATTAACCTGCCAGCCATATAGGAAACATTAGGATTGAAGTTGTAATTGACATGCTGAATTTTCGTCGCTACTGACAACTTTTAGTATTTTGAAGAATATATAACGAATATATATCTAACGAGAAAGTAACTGGACAAAGCCGATGACGCAACCATCAACTAAACGGTCGAATGATCAAAAGAAACCAGAAATCTTCTGCTTTAAACCAAGTCGTGACAGCAAGACACAACGGACTCTCTTTCTCATCTCTCAAACCAACCGCAATGTTGAACTTTTGGCGATTCGCGAAGCTGTGCTTATTTGATTGCATCATCCGATGTTATTTCCCTCAGCATTGTTGATGCAATCCGTGTACTTATGATTTAAGTATTTTTCGCATGTACACGTTCGTCCAATAAGACTGTTCAACCTAGTGCATATACTAGCTCATATGCGGTTATTGTTTTGCGTTCATATCGAATGATAAGACCTGTTCCGGAAGCAGTATGCTAACAAAAGTTAAGAAAATGAGAACGAACTGAAATTCTTTTCTAAATGACTCACCCGTTTGCAGGCAGACGTCACATGGGTTTTGCTCCGGTGGACACGTGAATACCACTTTGTCCGGTTCCACCAAACTGGACAAATCCTCTTCACCTGTGAACGTGAATGTGGTGCATGAAAATGATCTCCTCCATGCCCGTATTTCAGTCATTTGGAATGGTTAGTAAATTGGATTACTCCGTGTTCCCGTCTGCTCATCAAGTGAACCTATCCCAAAAGTGTCGTTGGTTTGGACTTCACAGGTTTTGATTACATGTCAGAATGAATTGTTGATTTGGGCATGGAATGGTGGTTGATTGTCATGGTATATATTGTCAGGATTTTTTATGTTTTGCAAATCAACTGTTGAAGTAAGCAGATTCAACTTCTCACACAACAGTGACTAAAATAACTTTCTATTTATACAGGTAACGTTGTTTACTTAGTATGAGTAACTCGTTTCATCGGTTGTTTGAACCAGAAAACATAAAAAATCAGAGAGATAGATAAAAAAACAGGCAGGCATGCAATTATAGCACTACCGCTTACACCCCATTTTCGAATTGATGGTTACCTTATTTAGCATAATCATTTCAGTCATTATTCGTTCATAGATGTAGTGAGCTGCACCGCCGATCAGCAATTTCCGAGGTGATTACTCTTCGCAATAGGGAATACTGAATGGCCAAAATTCATTATCGTACATTGTCAGATAAGGCCACAATGTTCATTCCGAACTGATATATCCCTGAGAGGTCTACAGATGGCTCACTAATGTGTTTACTTTTTGAATGGTTAGCATCTGAGAGAATTTTGAAACATTCCTTACGAATTGAGTGTTTACAACCAGGGGTAGTTTGTGTTAAGGATGCAGTAATGAAAAGAAGAAAAATATGCATTGAACCGAAGTTGGAGGTATTCCGAAGGTAAATAGAACCTAAAAAAGATCACTAATCACACAAAAGCAGATTCATAGCCGAAGAAAAATAGATTGACAAACACATTTTCAACTTTTATTCGAGTATTCGACACATAAAGCTTAAGATGGCGTTCCTCGAAAATATCCCATGGGGTTTTAAAAAAATAAAAGAAACAGGGAAATATTGTATCAATAAAAGAATGGGCAAATAAATCAAGTGGAATGCTCTAAAACTCGACTGTCATCTGTATAGATCAAGAGAGCCAGTGTTTGAAGAACATCGTAGCAAAATGTGAAAATAAATGGAAGAACAAACTAGGTTTGTGCTAATATGCATTTAACCACGCTGAACTTAAAGATGTAACTACCAGTGGGTTCGAAGGAAACGCAATGAAATGGGTTCTGATCAATATAAGAGAACATAAATAACTTGACCTAAATATTTTGATGAAAATATACCAGTTCTTCGGGTCATAAAAATAATTTGCTATCACGAAAAGAAGGAACAGAGTCTACTGAGTCCAAAAGATGCCCATTTTGAGCGTCTGAACAACCAATGTCTTTCGCTTTTCAAAGAAATGTGTACAGGAAAATCGATTGTGACGAGATGAGTAGCTCGCTTTACCCAGTCATGGCAGACGACAGCTACCACTCTCCACGAGGAAATTAATGAACCTAGCAGTTTCACCCAATCCAAATTACTCGCTCTCTTGGTCAAAACTCACATACCTCCATTCCGAGCCATAGACTGATCTTGATTCCGTTTTCACTAACGATACTGAATCTACAGGGATATCCAATGTCACGAAAGTTTGTTTTGAGAAGTATGTAGGAGTTGTGGGCAACGCAATTTGTGAAGTTTGAGCACCCGATGGAAAACTCAAATCAGGATTTACATAGAGACAAGTGCATTTGCTGTAATGCGTGGTGCTTTGCTATTATCTATGGAAACCTTCTGATGTCCTTCACGAGGCCCCAATGAAAAAAAATTATTAAGATAATATGTCTATAAAAGTTGTGTAACCTGTCAATGATATTTTACAAATAATTCATCTGGTTAAGCAGTTGTAAGCTATTCAAGGTATCCTGGGTTAAAGCTGAGGCATCAAAATCCATGGGTCGCATCAGGACACAGTAAAGCTTGGTATTGGAATTATGCTTTAATCTAGACGGTGTCCAAGAAACTGGACGAGAAAGCGATCAAAGGCTTCGATTTCATCGTTTTATGCTGGCATACCACAAAACACACTATCAACAGCCACTTGCCAATGTGATCGTAGCTATTAGCCAAGGCGGTCGTATCGAGAGAACATTCAGATGAATGCCAAGAGCAAACACAAGGTTTACAGCCCAATGGATCGTTTGACATGAGACCGAAATGTCCCAATTTGCATCTGAAAATGGAATGGAAAAGAGGAATAGAAAACGAAACAGGTCATAGTATTATGGCTATAGAGAATACCTCGCCCTTTCTTAACCCAGCGGTTCAGCGAAAGTCTGCTCAATGAAAGAACCATAGCGCATAGTCAAATACTCATTGATTGTAAAGTAAAATATTTTTCCATCAAATAAAACTTTGTATACGTTCATTATAAGTTCACCAACTGGGTGACAATCCAATGTCGTGAGGAGCTACACATATAAAATTACTCAGGGATGAACGCCCATTTATTTCAACATTTTTGTTTTACAAGAACATCTCCCCTCTAAGGAAGGACTGGCCCTAAGAATACTGATGACAGTGGCTGTCCACCCGTGACGATCACTGGACGAATCGGTACGGACCGTTATCCAGTTTTGATGTGATAAGTGTCATCACAAAAGACTGCATATTGATGAAGTGTGATCATTTGTGCACTTCTGGGACCCAAAAACTAAACGAAAGATCTAATCATGTCCGAATGGTCAAAATTGTCCAATGTAATATTCCTACAGATTTGGGAGTTGAGTGGGCGTCTCAGTCAGCAAAATGATGGTTTGGATAGTTAGGGCCTCCACTTCACTTTGTCCACCTCCTTGAGGTTGGGATCCTGTTTTGAACCCTGATTGGTCTCCTGTTTAGTGATTAAACTTTATCATTACTAGCCTAATCAGACTCTACTCAATAAATATGAATATAGACAAATAAATATTGTCATACGGCATCAGTCGTCGAGCTGGATAATCAGGACCTATTAGCCCCAGTAGAGTAAACTACCGCTCAAACATCGCAACCTTCGTATAATTATTTGTCTTCATACCCAATCCTTTCTTTTTGCTCATTATTCATACCTATAACTGTCACTCTCCAAGGCTCGTTACCAAATAGAACTGTAAGAAATTTATCATCAAAAAATTGCTGATCTCGAAGCTGCACTAACATATAAATCTGGGGAATTTCAACGTCAGTACTGTTATTCTGTCGGTCAACAGGCGGTTCATTCCATCCACATGATAAAAACTACAAGTCTGCTTTTTATATAATCCGAGGACTGTTTCTAATCGTGTACGAACGAACCTCAATGTACAGTTGTGGTCGGGCAGAAAAGCCCACCATGATACTCGCCCGGAAGTTTTGTACCTTCATTCTCCCAACGCCCCCACCGTCTCCACTATCCATCTTTTCCTATTCCCTATGGCCCCGGATAGCTTTTCGTTTATAAGAACTCTCTCTTGAAACTTGACGGTACCATCATTTCTTCAATACATTCAACGAAGAGATAATTATATGAAATATAAATTCACGAGGTGCATACAATCGATTTCTGCTAAATTTCAACAATCAAACCACAGAAGTTGATCCAGTCTAGTACGATGACTTTGCACCGCATAAAATTGAGGGAAAAATCAAGATAATTTTAATTATTATCCTTCCAAGCTTAATAAATAGTTCTTCCGTGCAAAAGGCTATTGAGCCCAAGAAAACGAACAACGCGCAATAAAGGTTACAAAATATACCGAAAATTGTCCTTTTTTGCTTTTCTCTCAACGTGGCTAGTCCAAACATTCCAATACGGTTCTTATACAAAACACACCGGCTTTATTAATCATGACTGGAACACAACGACTGTTTATGTTTTCATTTACATTTTGGATTGTTTGATTATCGAAATTGTTCCACTAAGGAAAGATAATTTTCTTCAGTTCTTTGACCGTCAATAGATTCCAAATATTTTTGATTTGGTTTAAATTCGACCTGTGGGTTTCTTGATATTCCGTTGCAGCACTCATCTTATTACGAGGTAAGCTAAACGCATGAACTCATTATTGTGCTATAAAATCATCGTTCATACACAATTTTCTGGAATAGCGAGGAAAGGAAGCAGCTAAACTTTTTGATGAAAGAGTTAACCAAATGTTTTACTTCAAGGATTCCCAGATGACGTTTTTCATCAACAAAAATGACACTCCAGGCTAGGACAATCCTCCCACCATGCGTGCAATGACTGGAGGCAACGCTGCTGCTATGCAGATCATGTAGGTAGTAGTAAGTCGATCACGATTGACTGTTTCGATAGCTGAAAGGTTGGTAAACTGAACTACGATTTAGAGCCCTGATGATCATCGTACAAATTTTTCAATGGGCATTGCCCGGTATGTCTGAAAAACTCGTGAATCATATGGATCCTAAGCCACTTTAACGGCAGCACCCCGACTGGGGCTAAAAAGTACTTCATATTCCCAAGGACACCTTTACTGTAATAAATCAGTCTATCTGAGTTATTATTGAAATCTGCTTGATTTCCCTGTAAAATGCTAATTTGGCTCTTCAGTATACCAATGATGAGGTATAGAATAAAAGCAGGATGATTTTGATACCATTAAGTGTACTATATTATTATTGCAGTACGGCACTTATTCACAAGGTTTTGGATGGCCGTCTGATTTGCGACTATTGATTAGCTCAGTTTGCCAATAAAACCGGATATTATTTTACTCTCTGGTTGCTGAAAACCATTAACTGTATCAAATAGCATCGTTATCAGTTCACGAAATCCAGTAGTGAAAAATAATAGAACATGTGGCTAACCGATGAGTGCGCACGCGTACATCACAAACCTCCGACGATCAGTCGGTATCGCAACAAAGAATAGGTAGGATAGACATTCATTCAACTTACTTATCACATTGTTTTCCGACCACGTTCTGTTTACATTGGCAATGCCCGGTCATCGGGTCACACAAAGCCCGATTCTCGTAGCTTCCGGCCTCGTTACAGTGGCATGGTCTGTGGATAGAAAAGATGGCTATGTGTTTGGGGTCAGTAATAGTCATGTTGTACGCATGCCCCACGATGGATTCCGTACTGGACTGGATCATGGAGGTTTAATTGGTCAGTAAGATGAGATGGAAGCATTAAAATGCTTAATGCATACACAATATATGCACACCTCTAACTCCACATCTAGTGTCATTTATGTGCATCTGATGTTACTTAGCGTCTGAGTTCAAAAGAAATGTGGAATCAAACAGGTTTGTCAAACCTCGGTGTAGGAAGGGAAAGTGAATGCTGTGTTGATGCTTGTAAATCTAAATAGTGTTGAACCACCGTGTTTTTGTTATGCAACGTGTTCGTATTTGATTCAAATCAGTATGAATCCCATTGACCTGTAGATTTTTTGATAAACACCACAAAAAGCCTACAATCTTGAGCGGGTTGTTGCATACTATAACCAAAACAGCCTTTTATTTGACATTCACAATATACTTTTGTCCTCCTGAACAGTGTGCATCTATTCTGTGCCCAACTTTTAACCTTCAAAATGCTCCAATTTTTTCAAGAGTGAATAAAATCACTGTTTCTTTTTAAAGGAGTCAGTCTTTAAAAGCACATGCCAGGAAACTTCTACTCACTGATGTGAGTTTTATTTTTAACTAAAATAATCGGGATAAAAAATAATACCCAGAAATCTACCCAGTTTGCGTTTGAAAAATGCGAATTCGAATAGGTGAACTAGGACAGTGTGAACGTAATTGTCGTTTACTCAAATGTACGACAGGGTATCGAACACCATACTTTTTCAACTCAAAATGAACCCACCAATCGCATTCCTTTGGGAGCCCCACAACGTGATTGGTATTTCGGCCACCCCATTTTATTTATTGGAGTGGGTTTATTAAACAACCTCCGGGCAGGAGAAACTGGTTTTTCCATAAACAAACAAAAATACTTCTTGATTGGGTTACCAAGTGAGTGTGAAACGTTTGGTGGGAAGAGGATGGACTGTTCGTCTCCCAAGAACCTTGAACGTTGATCGCTTGAGCTTTGAAAGAAAATGAACGAAAACGGTAGTCATTGACCCCGATCGGTTGTGTGATCAAACCAAAATTTACTCATAACCTGATGGCCACAGGCGTGTGAATGTGGTCATGAACGGGCGGGCAAAGCCTATACCCTCTGTTTAATCTGTTTGTCACCAACAAATCTCACACGCCTTCCATGCGATGGCTCCGGAGTTCAACTTCCGGACAGGACGGTGGATATGCACCACTGATGAGCTCTAATAAGAGCGAAACTCGAGTCTAGTGCTTCCGAGTGTATGGTTGAATCGATGAACTGAGGATTGTGCGTGAAGGTAAAGTCCGAAGGATAATCAGTTCAAATTAATAAAATAAAATAAATTAATAAAACAAATTAATAATAAAAACTAATAAAGCCCACAAATCCGTTAAGTGATTGCTCTTTCATTTGTCATTGTCTTGACCCAGGTGTATTATCGATCACCGGACATACACTTTTCGTTCAGTACGATGATTCCATTTCTTTGCTCACTCAGCGAACTCGGTTACCCCCAACCTCTCTTCTCTTGACCGTTTTCCCTGACCCCGATATAGTCTGACTCACCCTGCCCTATGATTATCGTATGGAGTTGCTTAATCTTATTCGGATTGTTTCCATGTGCACCGTGTGCGCTCCGACGTTATTCCACTTATCGCTTGGTCGTTTGATGGAGCAGTGAACTCCCTCGTTTACACTTTGGTTCTCGATTGACATTGTTCATTTTGCTGGTTCAGGCATATCCCCACGATTCGAGGTGTTGCCTATGCCATTGTAACGCTTTATAGTTACAGTAGTGCATCATTATTTGCTATTTTTTGGAGTCGAATGAGCCTCTGGAGCATTTGTACTTGGCTCCTGAGGTTGCGCGTCACTCAACGTTGGACTACATAGTCGTTTGGATTTTACACCCTCTTTGACTTAGTCATCAAAAGTTCACAAAGGTCAATTCTCCCTCGAATTTTATCGCTTGTTTGGGAACCAATGCAAATGACTATATTTGGCGCTTAAAGTTTGAAGAGTGCCACTTGAATATAAAGGAAGAAATAGAAGTGATTTAGACTACCCACTTAATTACGGGTTAAAATAAATGAGATTTTCCTCCGTAACCCTCAGAATAACTACTGGATTCTGTATTCAAACGAAATGGCTAGTATTCTAATGCCTACTAGTTTACCCGTAATGTCAGCATTTTTCATCTGACCATGTCATCACATTGCCTTCTAGCTTGATTTGAAATCGATGAAATGGGTATTTCAGTTACCTTTTATCTTAAATTACTTATCACACTGCAAATTCAACTTCTGGCGATCGGTCCCACTAAACTTGAATAGACTCCAGCCGTTGGTGAATTTTCCTTCGAACCCTGACGGGGAAGATAAATTTTATTTATTTTCAGACTAGTTTGCTGTTTTATATTAATGCTTGTTTTCGTTGCTGAACTTAATTTTCCTTCAAGCACTGCTTGCCCGGAAAGCATAGCCTACAGCGGACTTGTTTCCTCATGCGATTTTCCATGGGCATATATTAAGAAATCAATCAACTGTGGTTGCAGGTGCGTTCCTACTCCTCCGAATTTTACCACAAAAATCTTGGCTCGTGATCCGGAGGGATGAATTAACCAACAGGGTTGGAAAATGTTTGGAAAGCATTGCTAATGATGCAAAGCTTCACATAGCGAAAAACCATTAGCAGCGTGCATTGAGCCATGTTCGTATAGATTAACCAGTAGCCATTAAAATGCTTAATTTTTAATAAAAACTGATACCCAAACCGCGTCTCAAGGGCGTACAATCCCACTGTCTAGAAACCAATCTATCTCACTGGACTGTGGTTTTCGTACTCGTTGCCAGGTAGATGACAGTTAGCGGCTCCGATTATTAATTCCTACTGAAATAATCGTTTTGGTTTGGTAAACCGGGTAGTGTGTTGCCAATCAACATATCACGAATTCACTACTTAGTTTAAATATCCTTTTTGACACAGACTGAATCTAGGCAAACGTATGTAATCTATTCCTTGAGAGATTGGTTTGATGAACTGTTTGAGAATGCGTATCACTCGATTAGCCTGACTCATTCACTGTGAATCTCTCATTGGGTGCTTTTCGGTTAGCGTATGAGTGTCCATTCTTCCTACGATAACACAGTCAACGTCACAGCTGGCATAATGAGTTCACTCGTTGATGAATGTTATGTGAACCGAGAGTTATAGATGGAGCTCAGTTGTGTTCACTCACATGCAACCACCGGCACTGAATCCGTAATAGTTATCCTCACACCGATCACACCGTTTCCCACCCACACCGGGTTTGCACTGGCACTGACCGTTCGATGCGCATGTAGACTGACCGTCAATTGTCCCGACCGGATCGCATGCACATGGATGGCACACGGTAGGCCGGATCGGATCGGGATAATAACCGGTCTTACAACGCTCACAATTCGTCCCCTCCGTGTTGTTCCCACAACCGATACATCGACTACCGGATCCGGTTTGGTCATAGAGCTGCCGATCAAATTCGCACAATTGCGAGTTCCCGTTGCATTTGCAAGCTGTGTGGGCGGGAGGGGTGTATAATGGGTCACGAGATGTTGCAATTTCGTTAATACTGTGACGTGATGAATAGAATTATCTGGCGAGTCAAAAGTATCTCATTCGATAACAAATACCTGAAGGTGAAAACCTTTAGTGGCTGCCGCCGAAAAATCCATCTTTATCAAAAATTTATTGCATCAGTCATCTAATCCCATCATTTACTTATCTTTGACCCACTTTACCCCTTTTCTGTAAATAAACTTTCATCCTTGGAGTTCAGATTTCGACCATTCTTTCACATCGCCTACATCAGCATCGATGGCAGAACGCACTGCAAGTTGAAGTTGGTGTTATCACCAACTTCACGCTTTTTGAAACTGAAAAATTTGCCTATTTCTCTCGACCGTCACATGTTCTACTTTGACGTTTGCGTACTTCTGTTTATTAGGTTTCGATAGTTCAACTTGTTTGAAGACTCCCTCGAAATCCATTTGGTCAACTAGTTTAATCCACGAGTCCTAACGCTGTGACGGACAGATTGAAGTACGTGAGGCAAATTGCGGCTTTCTCACAACAGAGCAGGCAAGTAACCAGTACTGAGTATACAAACTTATAACCTTCATGAAGCGCACGATTTGGTCACCAAACCACCTGGGATTTTTTCGTTGAGGTTCACTAGTGAGATCGCCAATCCGTTTCTTTCGATAGCCGTTATGCTGTACCAACGTAAGTGGTCATTGCAACCAGAATTTAGGCACATCAGGATTGCTTGTCTCTTTTGGAAACATTGGTTCCAATACAGGGGCGTGCGTATAAATCTGAGACCATTCCACTAGGGCGGACATGTACCGTGTGCATTTGAGATGTAAATTATCTAACAACCACAACATATTCTTTCAAACAAGTGCTGTTTAGAGACCTGGAAAGGCTTAAACCGTTTTCCAATTATTCAGCTAGTGTACACTATTTGGCTGTGGACACTGAAAACATGCCCTCGGGTCTATTAAACAAATCTGAAGTTACCCAAAAGTACTGGACTCTCCTCGTCCAGTGATCGTTACCATAGAAATCCCTTCATTGAACGTCCATACGACTGGCGGATCTAATAAACCAAAACCTATTGTGCTGAAAAAATGTGCCAGCAATGTCAGCCATTCTGACCAGCATGTTCAAAAGGCATCTTTCCCGATATTCATTATCCAATGGTTCTAAATCCGACAGCATTAAATCGATTCCCAAGAAAGCCTCCGAGAGATTCCACCCTAAAGTTTCATCTTGTAAACCAATAGTTCTTCCAAATGAACAATTGTAGACGGTTTAACTAATATCTTAGGTGCTCTGGAATCCTCAATGTATTGTATCCTCTCATCTTTTGAAAATGAATTCGACCCTGAAAGAATCTGCTTCATAGACTATAGAAATGTAGTTGTAAATAGTACCCCAAATGAATATATTTATTCATTTTATTCGACCTGGGTAAATGGCACTCACTTTCGGCGACGTGGGAGTTACCATTATTTATTTATGGTCAAAAGATCATCCAAATAATGGGCTGTTATTCTAAACAGATCTGTTTAGTGGTCTGAGCAGATCAATAATGTTTTTTTGAAAAAGTCACTTAGCTTTCTCTTTATTCTCTCCATCTTACGCCTTTGATCATTACCCTAAATCAGATCAAATAATTCATACAAGCCTGCATTTTATCACACTATGCCGATCTGATCAGCTTTCCCGATTTCTCACAAAGTTATGTGTGGGATATTTAACTCATTGACACATTTATTCATGTACTGTCGTTCACTCGGAGCTCGCATCATTCAACTTATTATCTTCCAACAAATCGAAGACTGTAGTGACTTGTCAACAAGGTACTATCTGACCTCTCCATGTCTTTACCGTATGCTTAATCTAAAAACATTTTGATCTCTTAAACTCGCTTCAAGTTCAAACAGCTTTACTCGTCTATAAAAACATGTAAAACCTCGGTAGTTTCTTATCTCCCCCGTTCGTGTCATCCCGAACATATTTTTCGTGGGATGTCCACAACACTAAGTTACCTGTCGTTCTGAATGGTCCCCGATTTTACTTTGGGTGTTTGGCAGCTGAGTGTTTGCTCCAAGGTGTGGAAGAACAACTTCTCGACTTCTGTTGAATTTCCTAGGATACAAGTTTAGTGACTGTGCACATAACTCGTTTTGTCAGTTTTCTATTAACTGTGGACAATTTAAGTGAACTAAATCAAATAGTCAATCAGGGATAAGGAAAACACTGTGGTTCTGTAACTGCATCTTAATTGTAATGGTTTCCGGTAACCCGTTCAGTCCGAATCGCATATAAGATACGTATTTCGTGATTCACTTCTAATCCTGCTTTGGCCACCTCTCTAAAAAGACTACCGTGATCTGTCAACTCGGTTGTTTGAATTGATAATTCATTGGATACTCTTTCACTTTAGTAACGACAACATGAGCAAGGAATAATGCATATGGGGTCTATGGTGGTCGTAGGTCATTAGCAAGTATTTCGAGAGGATTCTGCAGCGGTGATACCCTCTTCATAAGCACTCAATTCCAGTCTCAATTAAGGATACATTAGAAAGATGCATTCTTAGTGCTTGATATATAGCACCCTAAATTGGTATTAAGCATTTTTTATCTATATATCTAGATGTTTTCAAGATCATGACGTATTTTTTTTAAATGAATGGATTTCTCGATGTGCTCCTTCATTCTGGTACACATTTCGAACCGCTAAATAAACAACAAAAAGTAGTTGTAAATAAACAGATTTAGTGCAAAATACTCTTGTACGTTTGCATGGGTTCGGATTTTCCGGCGTAGCTGGTTGCCACGGTGCGTCTCGATGATCCGGTGTGCACTGTTCACAATTGTCTCCGGTTGTATGATGGCTGGGAGCGCATACACAGACTAAGCGCTCCTTGGTACCCAACCCAGTACTTTTCCGGCACTCATTCCCATGACCGTAACACAAACACCTAGTTTATAAAGCAAGAGGAGAGAGAGAAAGAGAGATATGAAGAAAACGAATAAAACTATTTCATGCGTACTCAGAAAAGTCAGTGGACAGTTAGGCTATAAGATTACGGAATGAACTTTGATTCACCATCTGGGGTTGAACAAGCACAGAACAAGATGCTAGCCTACAGGGATTCGGAGAAAATAGTAACTATGCCATCACTTGGAATATAAATGGAGGAATGATGAGAGACCCGATCATGAATCACAGGATCCACACTGAAGACAGGTAAATTATCTCAACGATCTAGCAATATATGAGCTTAAGTTTACGAAACGAAACCAGGAAACTCAGAGGCTGGTTTTCTTTACGCCTGTATCTACAGATGTACAGAGAAGGGTTTCAATAATGAAGTAAACTCTTATGGCTAAATAAAAGAGAGTCCCAGATATTTCTGATACAGTCAATCCACTACTTTCATTGCTCAACTTTTACTTCTATTTCCCATTATTTTCATCTATCCGTTAGTGTCTGTTATTAGCCGAATATGTTATCCTTGGTTTACGTCGGAAGTTGAGAAAATTAAACAATATTTTAACACCTCATGATGTTATTCTTATTCCATTATGGATACAATGGTTGAAGGGGACCCAGTATTGAACATGTATACATAAAAAATAAGCTTCATTTACATCGACACCGTGGCACCCAGACGTTTGATTTCTGAGGATGAAAAAAATCCGATTACCCGAACCAAAGAAGAACCGCTTACCTGCCGCCAATGGTGAATTTTTGAATGGCAAAATAATAGGTAAGAAGAGTATCACGTTCCGCACCTCGTTCATCTCCAAATGTATGCATCTTTCTTAGTTCCACTCGAATTTGACTGGCTGTGCTCCAGCGCTGATGTAGGAGGGCAGATTAAAGCAGGACAAACAAAATGAAACAGACCGAGAAGCAGTCATTGCATACAATCGGGCAAGACAACAATAAGTATACGATGATTGGTTATAAAAAGTTCTCTTTCAGTGGCTTGTTCTTTATTATTGGTCATCCCGAAGCATTCTGTAAAATGTTTTTCTTTCTGGGGTGACACAGTAAAATATCATCCGCGTGAGTTAATATTGATTTTTCCGTGGGATACTCTCATTTGATAAAAGAATGTCAATATCCCCGAACCCTCTTAGATCCTCATCTTTTTCGAATAGTTCTAAATCTATGGAAAACGATATTAGTGTAAATGGTGAACAAGTTTGGAAACAATTAGCTGAATGACAGCAGCCAACACGTAGCCTATTTGCGTATGATCCCACCTCTCTGATAATTTTATTCCTTTTGTTTATTTATTTTGTCAGGACACTTACTGAAAACATATGTTCGGAGGCGAACAATTGTTTTCAGTGATTCATCTCCTAGTCTGTAAAGATTGAATGAGGAAATGACATGTCAAAAGTGCAATAGGTATTCAGTCACTCAAAGATCACAGTGATTGGCTGAAAGATGGATGTGGGTCGAATTGGGTGACACGTTTCACACCACTAAGTTACCACAACGCTGCAATCAGGTTGTCATACCTTATACATGCGAGCAATCTTTGGCCACGGCAGTTGAACTGCATGGGCAAATCTTTTTTTCGCACACGGATCGGGTATGACTAAGCGAATGATGATCGATCCTGAAGTGGCTACAATATGGAAATATAACGATTTGGATGAGTGAGTTGGTACTCGACAGATAACTGTGGAGGTTGTATCATGGTTCGTTTGGTGACCTGGGTATGTTTGGTGAGGGAGAATAGTGATTCCTGTAACATTTTCCGCCATATCGAAGCCAGTGTGGCCAGTACTCTTTAGTCGGCTGGGACAATTGCCTTGGGTTTCGGCTTATGAACATTGCGTTACAAACACAGCTGAAGGAATAGATAACCATGGATGAGACCAGCGTCGATAAACTGTCTTTATTGAATGTTCTCATCATTGGACAACCTGTAAATGTGCACGATTAACTGGATGTATTAAAGGTACCTTTCACAGCACGCGCCATGTGTATTCTAATGAGGTCAAACAGGTCGTTTCCTTTGAATGGCAGTTAAATAAACAACCTTTTCTTTGGATCTTCCTGAACAGACTCGTATTTCGGTTTCTTTCTTTCGATGAAACTTCCACGGCATCCATTTTCTCTGATCCAGTTCATCCGCAAACGTGGATTTAGAGCATCTCTTTCGTGCAAGCAAGACGAGGAACTGAATAATTTTTCTCTTTTATCTAAGCGGTACGGAACTATGGAAGTTCGTTTACTGTCCGGTCCATATTTTTCTTTTACGTATAACCTTTTTCCAAGCAGTCCATTAGTCATACGGTGCAAAGCTACGTCAAGGAATGATAATTTTTTAACCTTCACTGCTTCTGGAGTGAAACTTGTGNTTCTGGAGTGAAACTTGTGAACTTTTGCGCCTTGTTCGGCGTTTGCGTGGCGTGGATCAGGTCGTTCTCCTTTTGGGTTACGCAAAATATATCACTAACACTTCACTGATAGAATTTCATCTTTCTAACTTTCGATTTCAGTTTGACCATGAACACATCCGTTGGTATCGGACCTAGTGGAGAACCCACAGCGATGCAGTTTTCCTTTGAAAGGAAACTGAACATTAAACGTTCACTTCAGGAGAAGTTCTTTAGCTGTCCTGCTGGTATTGTATTATCGACTTCATTTTATTGTATGTAACTACAACCGTTTTGATAAGGGGAACGCCATTGGATAATGGTTATTGTCTATCTCTTGTTGCCGTATTGCGCTCACAAGTTCAAAAGTGTCGCGTGAGCTGTGTTTGGTCATTTGCCGCCAGATTGGTTCCAGGAATTTTACAAGCCATTCCGCGGAGCGGTAATACGGAGAGTTGACCATTCATAGAATAGGTAGCAAAATAAAGCTCGTTCAATGAATCTTTTATAACCCATGAAATTGTGAATCCACACAGTTTAATCGCTTCGAAAATGGATGGATTTGTAACCTTAATCCTTTAGGCAGTGGAGGTCATCTGTTATTTTTCCTCTCAATATGCATAGTTCTGTCAAGCTCTTCGGAAAGGTGAATAAATTCAGCCTCATAGGACAACCAACCTGAAAAATTGTAAATGTAAGCCGTTTCATTCATGATTACAATTTCATCTTCCTTAGCGGACTTAGTTACTTAGTGCAAGGTCCCCTGACTGCTTACAGTTAGTCAAGGTGTTTCGGAGCATGCCTTTCTACTGGCTTAATGCCATTTATATTTTCTAAATATTTTTGAGTAAAACTGGAGATTTTTGCGTACGAGCATGTTTTCAGCCTGTTGAAATACAAAGCCACTTAAGTCAATCCTCACTTTTCCTACCAGCTGAGCCTACTAATTTTGCCCATCGGTGAGACACAGGGGTAGTTGATTTTTTATTGAATCATACGTCTTCAAAAGGTTTCATGAGATTTTTTCTTTTATGGACACAAAACGTTCGTTTTCAGTTTGGAGAAACCATATACTTTGGGTCCCATTTTGGCATGTGCAATTTTCGGGAATGATCGAACAAAAACCAAGCGATAATATTTTCTGTTTCACCCTGTACAAACTTTTTAAGGAAAATATATTTATTCTTAAAGGCGATTAACCTTTTACAACACTAATAACTTTTAGCTCAGCCAATCCAAACCTCTCTGTATCTCACGAAGTAGAAATCAATTAGACCGTTTCTGGACAAAATAGTTACAAGGAGATTAAATGGAACACCACAAAGCTCTGTTTACCGAAAGGCTCATCCGCTCGTGAGAACCCTATTTCACTGGGCGAGAAACATTTTTCTCCAGATGGACTAGACGAGGAAGTCTTGCGTCTGGGGCGGTGGTGTCCCGGTGGTAACTTTACCAACTATCACCCCGGAGGACGTGTGTTCAAATCCCACCACCACTGTCTGTCTCCTCATTGTGTGTTGTGCGGCAGCCCTTTGATTAGCCACTTCCCTCTTCCCGAAAATTTTATCTTCTAATACTCAATAAAAGGACGTTAAAATGATAAAAAGAGAAAAGAACTGCTAAACAGTGGTTAACCAGAAAGCTTTATAGACATGCGTTCTAAACTATTCCAAGTAGGTAACCAAACCAAAGGTAACCGCACTTACAATAGTGTTTTTGAATGCACATAATGTGTATTACGATAAAAGTGGAAATCCCTATGGTCAAACGGCGTACCGGAGAATGGACAGTAGGAGAACCTTCACAAAGGGTCCCATTTATTGATTCTAAGTTTAAAGTGTATANNNNGTATAAGGTTGTAAGTTGAAGGAAAGATAGAAAGTGGGAGGGGTTTCTACAACTGGGTAGTTCAGTGAGAAAGGAAGACTGGAGCAGAGAAGTACATCTGGTGACCGAAATCCGACAAGGGTGACTAGATGCGGGATAGGCGGGCAAATTATATAGGGAGAGACACTGTCGAGGCAAGTTCCAGAGAACAAAATCCAAAGTAGTAACGATTGACAACGGACAGTGAAGCAACTGCCTACCAGTCGCGAGNGGCAAGATTGATAAGATTTAGTGAAGCGATTGCTATTACCGATGGAAGACTCCCTTTGTCAGCACAAACTAATGATCCCAGTTTAAAAACAGCTGCAAACTATTTAAGCCTTTGGCCGGAGCCGGAAAAAATGTATTGACTAAGTGAGAGCCTTGTCGTATTTATGGCGTTGCTCACAGTCAAGACATGTCCAGAATGGAGGTTACGCGAGCGCTAATGTAGGGAAGGGACAAATCGGGTCGCCGTATGCTGTCCTATACCCTGACGTCCCCGCATCCAGTAACATTGAGAAAAGGCCGGGACTTTCCCAAGGTGGTGACTGGTCCAAATCCATTTCAGATGCATGTCACGATAAATCTCAAGGTAATGTTAGGTTTACCCTGACACCTACCCTTTTGAGATGTACTTTCTCATTTCGGGTTTACTTGCATTTTTGTGGTTTGCGTCCGTTTCATGTTTGTCGGTTGCCTTGGCAAAATGGATGGTTTCGAATTCGGCACGTTTTGTCGTACTCTATCTGAATGTGATGAACTTGGCAGACCGAAATTCTCCAATGGACTACAGAAGGATAGTTGTGAGCTTTGAATCTTTTCTTCCTTACATTTTTGGCCTTAACCGATTCACTTTACACAGACTAACTTGGGACTAAGCTTGTACTTCATGCACCTGAGATCCACATCATCACATAATTCTAGCGGCCACCCAGCCGAAACCGTCATTTGAATGACATCCTGCTAACACTGATTGACTTAGAGCGAACAAACTTCGCAAGGCTTCGTGTTTCTGGTTGAATTGCTCTTCCATATTCCGGTTCCTTTTGGTGTCCTTTGTAGCTGGATGCAACAGATTAGACTCCGTTCATGACCTGCTCATCAAGGCCTCCGCTGTGGAAACTCCGTCTGGCAAGTTCGCATTTGGAGTGTACCGATACACAAACCCAAACATTTCAATGACTTCAGCGGTTGATCCCTCCCCGTTTGATTTCTGGAAGGTATCCACAAATCTCTCAAATCGAGTTCCAATTAGTAGCAGCTTTATGCACCAGGATGGACAAATATTCCACATTCTATACCATATTTGTGGATGCAAAGTTACGAAGACATATAAGATATAGCTGAGATTAACAGATATAGTCTTTGTCAATGAAGCAAGCAATCTCGCAATTCTATGAAAAGTATCTAATTGTCAAAAAGTAGACATGCGAGATATGGAAAACAGAATTATGATATGAAGAGGTATGTGAAAATAAAAGATTGAACCTTGAGCGTGTGGATAGTGTAGATACAGCTTTTGAAAGCTTGTTGTGTGATAGGTGATGAGTGTCTGAGAGTTTATTGGCAATAAAACGTTCACATGCTTGTAGG